GATATGATAAAATATACCGGGTAAATACTATGTTATTCGGTAATTAAGCCACATTTTTTCTTTTTTCATAAGTGGCACACTTCACTAGTTCACTCCGCACTTGTTTGGAACAACTTCTAAGGACAGTCAATTTATAAGCAGATTTCTAAATAAACCTTTAAAGCCAACTTGCATTCATTCACTCGAAAACCAAGCTGTAATCTGTGTATCTATTCAGGAATCCGCTCACCTCTGAGTGATCGATGAGCACACCTTACTTATCGAATTTGATACTTTTCATGATATCGTCTTCTTTGATATTTATACAGTCTATAATTTATTTATATATAGTCCGTGTGAATTCACCTTTATACTTCTTATGATTTTCTGTGCGTTATTGATGCACTTTTATACTATTCTTAATAGGTTGTCAAAGTTTTATTTTCCATAAGTCTGTTATAGTTTTTTTCCCACTCTTCAGATATAAAACTTTAGCAGTGATTTATCAAAAGTAGTTTTAGTTAGCATTAGTATCTTTTCTTTAGAAGATATAACTCTTATTTCTTACTTTGTTTTTTTTTTCCTTTTATTTGGAACAATTTTTCACTAATTTTTTTTGTCCTCATATGAGTTTATTTATATCGCTATGTTGTTTGTTATTATTTATGTTCTCATTCTGTCATTCTTAATTCATTTCTTTCATAATTGATATTATTCTGAAACACCAATTTATTGATAGGTTTACCTATTATCAGTCCTGGCTGGCGCGGTAGGGAAGACGCTATAAGAAAATAAGTTTTCAAAATATTGTGGTAGCCAACACAAAAAGTATTTATTTAAAACTCATTTTAATATAAGTAAGTTCAATGAATAAATGTAAATACCCCACTATTCATAGTTTTGCCCTTGCAAATGGAACTCATTTTAACTAAGTATATGATAATAGCACTAGTCAGCCGCTATTGTGTGTCCAGACAGTTTTTAAATTCACCTAGCAAAATGATGAAGGTCTTGAATAGTTCATTAAGTCTCTTTCTCTGAAACATAGATTAATAAAAGCTTCGTTTAAAAAAAATTCGATTGAAATAAAACGTTTTGGAATTTCAACGGCGATTCTATTCAAAAGGTTTCAGTTAAATGTTTTAATTTATGAATGCAAAATTTTACCTATGAATTTTCAACTTTAACCTTTATAGAATTTTCGGTGCAGAATTTCTGTATTTAAAAATTTTAAATTATACGTGCAATCATCTTTATTCATCTTCTTTTGTACAATTAACATTATTATTACAAGTCATTAGATTTTATAATTTCACCTTTTTCAAATGAATGCTTTAATTCGTTGTCTTTAATTTTTTTGGTTAATATTAAAACTTAATTAAATATTATAATTATATAAAGCTTAAATAAATCATTGCATTCAAATAGCAATCATCCAATCATTATCTCTATTTCGTTTGTCTTAATATTTAATTCAAAGACCGAGCTCTTCGTCCGTGACAAAGTTTCATTATTTGAAGAGATATCAAAGATGAAATTGCCTCCCGTATTTGTTTTCTGAATAGTAAAGCAGATAATCTTCAGTTTATCTAAGGAACTCCAATGAATTCAATTTACGACAAACCAATGAATTTCAAAAGAAAATAAATATTTCATTATTATTATTATATAAGATAAATAGGTTTTCATAATCCATTATCAATTTATTTATATGATGATTTAATTAGTGAAATAAAATTTTGGTGTTCAATAATAATCTGTGTTTTCATATTGTTATTTATAATATGATTATCTTAAAAAGTGAATTGATTCATATGATTCATAAATTTTTTTGAAGTAAACTGTGTTACTCTAGTCTATTAAATATGACAATTTACCGAAAACAATATTAATATTTAAATAAAATATTTACTGTACGAGTGTATAAGTAGATATGTACTAGTACATACACCCAGTAAGTAGAACATACAACTCTCATTTTAAAGGAGAAGTAAATTAATAATAATCTTTTTATGACCAAATACACATATACTTTGTTTATCATTGTGTAATTTTTAAAGCAAAACCAAATTGTATTTGTTACGCAAGCATAACCAGATATTAAGTTTATGGTATAACAATGGTATAAATTACAGAATTCGGACTCTGAGCCATCGGTGGGAATGGGAAAGTGAAGTGGACACCGCACGCCTTGCACTATTGGTGGGAATGCTAAACGGGATTTAACATATGTATATTCAGTCTGGAATAAACCGCTGACTTACAGACACCTATTTAGGATATAGTAAGTTATAAGAGTTAATTATAGAATGGGTCTTAAGTCAATCGCTGACTTAAAGACCCCGCTCTGGCTTATAGTTAAATTGAAGTCTCTATTGTTAAATTGAATATATTTTATAAGTAAAACGGATTTTTCTTGCATCCTTCGCTGCCACCAAACGTGATTTATTATAATGTTGTATTGCATAAGTATTTTTTATTGCATCAGAGATGTGACATTTGGAATATACCTAAAGGTGATTTAGATGTCAAAAAAATACTCGAAAGGGTAAATCGGATTAAGAATTTGAATATTATCGATACTCGGGCCTTTAATCTTTAATCTCTTGTTCAGCACATGGTTTATAAAATATTTTGGTTATTCAGAAAATACAGAAATGGCATGAATTCGCAATTTATTTTGGTAAAAAATTAAGGTCTTTTCTATATAGTATATTATAATATAAAATCGAAATATTCCAAATATTGAATATAATTTGCAAGAAATCTCAGTTTCCAGACAAAGACAAACGGAGTTAAAAGGTTTTGTAACACGATATTGTAATAAATTCCGCTTTGTTCCGTTCCCAGAGTACTACTTCCTTTTCTTAGGATATAGTTAAGAAGATATAAATTAAAAGATGTACCATTTAAATTGCATTTTATAAAGGAAACTATAAAGTTTCAGCAATTAAGAATTCTTCTGAAAGTACCAGCAGCTCATAATTAAGTTATCCCTTAAAGTAATCTTATATAACTATACGTGTAAAAATTATAATATTTTTATAAATTCTGTTCAATTTTAGTATCACTTTCTCAATGTAGTCAATTCATTTCAAAACTTCCATCTATTATATGAATTTTGAAAATTGTAGAATTTTGATTACAAAAAGGTGTAAGCAATTTCTTCAACTCAATGGTTTTGATGGACCATGCTATGGACCTTTTTGTCATGAAGTGACCAATTATGTACCCAGAAAGTAATCAACCAAATCAAATAGTACTGCCAGCAAGCGTCTTCTATGAAAAGCGGAAGAATTTTTTTTTTTTCAAAAAATCTTTAACACTTTATACGGCGCCTTATTTGTCTTATCTTTCCAGATTAACCCTTTACATAAATAAGGACGTGATTTGTTAAAAGTACTGATTATATTGCTGCCAGGTGAACCAGAATACATCTTTTATTTTCTTCCATCTCGTTTATAGTTTCATCAATAGTTATATAAGTGTAACCAATTAAGCAATTTAAATGTCTTTAAAGAAGCTTTAACGCTTTACAAGACTGACAAAAAGTTGATATTTAGTAATATGTACATAGTAATTGAAATTATGTTAGCACTTACCTGGAAATATTGTTTGTATCAACTTTTTAATTTAATTTAATTTAATTTAATTAAAATAGAAACTTAATAGTTAAGCATGAACAAATAATTGCCCTTTTATTTAGTATTTAAATATATTTAACCCCCGACGCAATAAGAATCGCCTGTGCATGTGTGCGTCTGCGTGAACGTATGTGTTTATGTGTTTTTGTACATACAGACATATGTCTGTCTACGGAATCGTAGGTTTCAAACGTATCGCGCGATTACGATGTAACTTTTATTTAATTTGAAAGAAAATTTTCTTATGATGTGTCTTAGCTATGTTTGATTGATAGATTTTCTAACGTAAATTATTTAAAATCATATTTTTTTTTGCATCAAAGACTTTTTTTAATACTATAAAAGATATTTCATTTATAGTTTATGAAGCTTCTTTATTAAATTGGCTAAAAATATTAATCTTTGTATTTTATTTTCACTAAATTAACATTAAGATTGACCATCCACAATTTATAACTTTTCAGATAAATTGAAAAAGAATCTTAAATATCAAGTTTTCTTTTCATTTTATATTGAAAATAAATATTAGAACTACTTAATAAGCAACACCCAGAAATGCTTTAATATTTTATTGAGTTCAAAAACACAAACAAATTTTAGAATTACATATTTACAGTAGAAATTGCCTTAATTATATAATTAAAGTCAGTGGTGGCCTAGTGGTTAAAGGGTCCGTCTCTCGTTGCCGAGGGCGCGGGTTCAAACCTGGCAAGTACCAATGTGATTTTTCGGAGTCATATGTACTTTCTGAGAGTATTTAGACACCACTGACATACGGTGAAGGAAAACATCATGAGGAAACCTGGACTTATAGTTTCACAATTATAAGTTTGAAATCACCAACCCGTCTTGAGCAAGCGTGGTGATTAATGCTCAACACCTTCTCCATGTGAGAAGAGGCTATGCTCAGCAGTGGGCGTTGATAGGCTGATGACATATAATTAAAAGGGCTCTGTTGAATCTATTATTAAAAACATTCGTCTGAATTAGTAACCTCAGAGGCTAAAGAAAAGTATTGCAAGCAAGTTTTAGCAAGACAGTTTTGTCTAGAAAACTAAGTAATGTTTTTATCGCCATTCTTTTTAAATGATTACTTCTAATGCTTAGTGATTATAATCTAATCGATTTAAAATAAAAAAAAATTGAACTATTTTTGTTTATCGTATATTCGGATCTTTTACAATACAAGTTTGAGACACCTTATAACTTTAATATGTATATTGATATTAATTAAAGTAAAACAATATTTAGCGTTTTGCTATTAGCTATTAATAATGTTGTGTAACCAAAAAATAAAATGTTTTAATTAATCACAATAGTATAATGTTTTGGAATCAATAAAATATTTTTAAATAACCGTTTTTAACGACAGTTCTATTAAAAATCAGGTTCAGTAATTCTAATATTGAATCTTTGTCTCGTGAGGGTAACGCCATTCGTGGTGCTCGCCACCACTGTATCCATGAGCTCGTAAGTGCCACTGAAACTTACTGGAGGATTTCTAAATCCAATGGAACAAGATGTAAAAGGCTCGGAGACGTTTTTAAAGAAGATTTCCGAATTCGGTAAATTGTTCTGGGGATAAGCTTCAAATCTTCTTCCATCTGGATATGTGATGTGACAAGTCCTTAAAGTATCGAATAATGGCTTCGCAATGCTGATTGATGATCCGAGATGCTCATGTCTTATTATGTGGACATCTCTATCATCAAGTCTGACCTCCGTCAAACAATATCCTAAAAACATTTGATAGTTGCAATATAATCAACACACTTCATTCACACTATAGATAATAATTTATTCTCTGTATAACTACATGCTTTAAAAAATATATCTTAGTATTTATGACATCTTCAATCTACAAACCTTGATGTGCCCAAACTGCCAACACAAAGAACAGAATTTTACAAACCATACTGAAATATATATGAAGCTTGTAAAACCAAATGAGTCAAATTCTAAATAGATTTGCTGTTTTAAAGATATAACACTATCTGAGGTTATTATCATTGAAGATAATAAAGGAGTAAAAAAATCAAACGATTTTAGGAAATCAATGCGAGCATATAATTTTGTTCGTATTATAGTTTTGGATGGTTTTGAACAGTAAATAAAATTTCCAATCAGTTTCAGAAATCAAATTGTATGTAGTTATTATTTTAATAAACCCATTTGATACTATGAAAAATATATTTTTATTTGAAGTGTAATTATTGTAAGTGGTGTAAGAGCTAAAAAATATGTATGTATTTATTTTTTCAGAAATATTTATAAAAACATAATTTGTAGTAATGGTAAAAAGAAATAAGTGATGCAAGCACATTTTGCTTTAAATATCCTAAATTGCAATTAATACATTCTTTATTCTTTGTTCATTAAAATACATATATTGTGTTATTGACGAAAATATGCTCAATATAGTCTTTTGGGTATGTGGCTGCTGCTTAAATTAAGTTAATCTTTAAAAAAAATTGTATTACCTTCTCCTAGAAACAGCGGAAAGTAGTTTTTGGTAACTCTACTCCTCTTTTCTCTATATCCCAAATCTCTTAGGTCCGTTTCGTATTTATTTGTCCCTTATATTTATACAGCTACTTCCTATTTTTCAAATTATACACACGCTAAGACATCAATAGTATTATAAATTATAATTAATATAGAATTTCTAATCGTTAACGTAAATCGTTAAAAATTGCTGATACAAGACTGTCAAGAAATTAAGATATTAGATGTTATCTTTGTACGTGACATTCTGTAATGATTATAATGATAATGATTTTCGAAAAGATCTTTAACATTAAAAAGCCAACATGTTATGATAAGTATAATCTGATCGGTGCTAACCGTGATAAAAATTATTAGTTAATGGAAATTGGTGTGTGTAGAACAATTATATGTTGACAGAGAAGATAATTTATATTTTGTTTTGAGCATTGTCCATCCTAGTTACCCATAAGATTTTAATTATGGGCAACTAACATTAAAATTACGGCTTACATACAATCGTGAAAACTAATTAATTTTGAAACATTACAATGTACTAGGTGATGACGTTTTAACTCAACCCTGACATGGGTTGCAACGAATGAGGTTGTTTGATAATAAGTTATATAAAAGTAACAGTTTAATTAATAAATAATTATTTCACCGCCTGTATTCAGACGTTTTAAAATAAAATTGAGAGACAAATCGATTTATTTGTTTTAAAATTAAAATTTTGCTATATTTTTGTTTTTTTACGGTTTACAGTTTATAATGATTTTAAGTCAGTAGTGGCCTAGTGGTTAAAAGGTCCGCCCCTCATGCACGAGGGCGCGGATTCGATCCTGGCCTTGTCAAGTACCAATGTGATGTTTCCGAGTCATATGTACTTTCTAAGAGTATTTAGACATCACTGACATACGGTGAAGGAAAACATCGTGAGGAAACCTGGACTTATAGTTTCACAACTATAAGTTTGAAATCACCAACCCGTCTTGAGCAAGCGTGGTGATTATTGCTCAAACCTTCTCCATGTGAGAAAGAGGCCTTTGCTCAGCAGTGGGCGTCGGATAGGCTAATGATGATGATGATGATTTATGCATTCCCAAAGAGGGTTGATGTCAGGCAGGCGGCCGGTCGTAAAAGTAATTAGCCAAAACTATTCACAACATGTAAGGCAGACCCTGGTTAAAGCTAGGAAATTGTCAGGTAGAAGAAGAAGACAGTTTATAATGATTTTATAATATAAGAAGAAACCATATCAATTAATCGATATTGAAAACATGTGAACACTTTCGGTATTTTGCAGCAGTGGCGGCAATTATTTAAATTAAATAAAATTACTAAATAAATATAAACTGTACAGTCGTAACAGATTCTGTCTGTAATGTTTTTGTGTAAGCTTGTCCATTATATAGAAACAAGGTAGCAGGTGGACAGATCTCAACTTTGTTGCCAAGTTCCAACATAAGTATGCACCTGAACTGCCAAGTATTTGAAATAGGTAACCTATGCTGCCAAGTATTTGAAATAGGCGCTACATAAACATGAGCGCAAAGAAATAGTTCAGATAACTCGTCTCCTTTGTTGTGGTAAAAGTTAAAATTCCTGGAAACCAACGAAGACAATCCATTATTTGAAATACGTTGTGCGGTGTTGTGTAAGAAATAAACGTTTTTTGTCAATTCAAATAATAATATATAGTGTTTAGTAATCATGGCATCTGAACCTAAGTTTCTTTAAGGAATAAAACGAAACGTATTACATTTGAAATAAAATAAATATATCTATTATCTGCCTAATATTTTATATTTAAATGCAAATTTCCAAATATTTAAATCAAGTTGGTTTACATTTTGACAAGTAAGATTAAGTCAGAGATTAATTTTTTTTAAATAAATTCTTCTGTTTAAATAATTTTTGTAGTTTTACGTTGATTGAACGTCATATTTTTTTTTAATTGTTAAATAAATTTTTGTCAATTTTTTAAGTAAATCAATCTTCTTGCTTTCAATATCAAAAATATTTCTCTATAATGCTCATTCATATTATGTTGTAAGTAGCTTGAAAATATTAGTAAATAAATATTACTTTTTACAAATATTCTATGTAATTCCAAATGATTTCATATAATCGAATATTCATAATAGCAAAACATTATTATGATCATATAATTGTGGTATATCTAACCACGTTACGAAATTAGAAAGCCTTTTACAGCTGTTAGATACAAATGGCATATGTGATTTATTTTGCATTGAATCTATTTAGAATCTCGTATTCGCTTTACTGAATTATTTTGATATTATGTTGTATAATCTAACAAAGATTCACAGGAAATGGCATAATATTGTGAATTGTACTAAATACAGGATAGTTTAAAATAACACATCATTGTGAGACTGTTGTTAATACTAGTCGTATATAATTAAAATTAGGTAACATATAAGTGAGTGGTCGTTTCTATTGTAAATGATTAAGGAGTTTTTTAAAAACAAGTATATACTTTAATGCACAATATTATTTAAAATTATTTTATTCAAAAAGTTATATAAAAATACCTATTTCAACAAAAAGTTCTGGGTTAATTTTTATAACTTTTTCTGAGTCATATTCCTTAGACATTGAAATCTATAACTAATATACCTATATTAGTTATAGATTATTAAAGTTATAAAAGTTATTAAAGTTAAGAAACCATGAAAATAACCACTTCGCGTTGTGTGATTTATCTTTTCTTGCATATGCATAAACTTTTCTAGAATATCAAGCAACACAGACGGGTAACAGATATTTTTAAATAAACAATGACATATGAAATCTGATTTTCATTTGCTTTGAATATAAACAAATATATATATATAAAAATATATTTATATATGTACATATTAAGTCAGTGGTGGTCTAGTAGTTAAAAGGCCCACCTTTCATGCGAGAGGGCGCGGGTTGGATCCTGGCAAGTATCAATGTGATTTTTAAGAGTTTTTCTCAGAGTATTTAGGCATCACTGATTCCCAAAGAAGGTCGACGTCAGGCAGGCGGCAAGTCGTAAAAATAATTAGCCAAAACTATTCATAATATACAGGGTGACTGGTGAATTACTATCAATATTTAAGGACGTGGTAGTTGACGATCATATATGACAAAATAAAAATTAATATAACATAAATATTAATAAACTTCTGAGTAAAGTTAACCAAAAGTTGTGTAATTAATTACGCATCGTATGAACACCCTACAGATTAGGCATACACTGACACTCACACATACGCGTGTCGTGACGTAGTGTTGTATCAGCACGCCGCCGCACGCGTCCACACTTGAACACTTGGAACGTGTACACACTTTATTTATTTATACGGAAATTTGGTCAAAAATTAAGTACCTATTTTTTTTACATAATTCGAATGAGAATCATGTACCGAGTATGCTCCTGAAATATTGATAGTAATTCACCAGTCACCCTGTATAAGGCAGACCCTATCTAAAGCTTGGCAATTGCCAGGTAGAAGAAAACATATTATCATCTCTTTTTAAACATAAACTAACATGCTTAAGGACTAGTCTAAGCCGGAGTTATACCAACATTTAAATGACAAACAGAGATTCTTGACATTGTTGTTCGGTGGACGCATCACAAACTTCACCAAGTCAAAAGCAGTTAGATTAAGGTCAGTTATCTTCAGTCGTTTGCCAAAGATCGGTATTCCAAGCAACTAGCTACATATTCCTTTTCTTGCAGAATTATATTCATAAGTTTATATAGCTGCTCTTATCAATACATTTTCACAACTATAATATAACAAAGAAGTCTAACAATGAAAATGCTTACTCATTATACAGATAAAATCATAAAGAAGAAAACATTCATACAATATACTCGCAATACATATCGCAGAACACAAAACTGATTATTTATTAAACCCAAAATAATTATGACTTGTTAAACATTTAAATTGGACATGAATTTCCTCATTATTATCCAATCAATTTTAAAGTATTCAGTCGGTTTATTGTAATGACTGTATTCGGTTCATTGAAGTCTCTCTAACCACTGGACCACAAAAATTGTAATGAAATTAAAAACTCATATAGGACAGTAGCGTGGGCTATTAACCTGTAAACTAGCAGTAAATTTCTGTTTTACACTGAATTTGTCCTTTAACTTAACATAATATAAATGTGTAATTTTTATTGTAGGTATGAGTATTTTTAATCAGTATGTTTTTTTTTCAAAAAGATATAGTACAATTTATGATTGCAAAATTAAATTATATTGAGTCATATATAAACTCCTATGGTTTTATTTTTCGTGCTTACCAAAGAAGTTAAATTATTTATTTAGTGACTTATTCCATAAAATCCTTAAATATTTATAACCGCTTCTAAGTTATTCAAACCACAAAGTTAAATATAATAAATTCTAAACGTTAG